CCTCGGGCTGCAGGCCTCGGGGTGGGTAACTCAGCTCTGCCCGGTGCTGCCAGGAAAGGGCTTTTCCCCATGAGAGGGGTGAGAGGGGCGTGAGCGGCACTGTCACCCACTAGCTGTAAGGGCTTTGTCTTTGTGGTCTTCACAGCTGGGGTCACCTTCACTCCTGCATGCACAGCAGTAACAACCAGCATCACAAATGCTGAGACAGGCCCCAGTGAGCTCCACATGTCGACAGCTGTAGAAAAAGACAAACATAATAATTAATTGCTGCACAGCACCCTTTTGCATTCACGTGTTCCCCACAAAGCCAGAAGACCTGTGTGAGTAGTGTCCAGCACACATGGGCATCTGCATGGAGGACTACATTACAAAGTTTCACTTTTTATGGGTAAAGTAAAAAGCAAAGTTAGCAAAACCTCCTGCCTGCTCACCCCTATTGACCATTGCGTCGAGCTGCTCCTGTTAGCAGCTCCTGGTAGGTGGTTGGAAATGATCCCATGGGTATCAATAGAGATTCAAAGGACTGACTGAGAGTTGCATGATCACTGAGACACCTGATTTCTGATGGATGATTAGGAATAATTCAGTAATTATTTCATATTCCAACACAACTGCACAATATAAAAAGCTCTGCTCTAAAAGAATAAATGGAAACAAAATGAACATCAAGTATTCCAAAATTTTTATGATGGTATTTTCTTTGCTACTGATTGATTTTCCAGACTTGTATATCCTTTCAGTGTAAACTTTCAGGTCCATTCTTTTATCTTTAAAGTGTTGATTTAACTGAACCAGAAAGAAAGAACAGTCAGAAGGACACATTTTTTCCTATAGGACAGATGACGCCTCTCAGATGACTTGTCATATAAAGCATCTTTGTTTCTTTTTTAAACCAGTGTACTGACCTGTAAATACAAATGGAACAGACTCCCTTTCTTGCTGAACCTGTAATCTAACCTTCCTTAGCAGCCAAGGCACTTCATTACATGAAAAAGTCACCAGGAGAAATGCTGACTATCCTTGCCATCCAGAGGGCAAAAGGTGGTCTGACTCAAAGTCAGGTATTTGGGGGCTGAATTACAATCTTCCCATCTTTAAGAATGCCATTTTAGAGGAAAAAGTCATGATTTTTTTTCCATTTTCACAGAAAATCAAATCACTTAATGAAAATCAGTTATCCATACAAAATCCCCAGTGATCCTGTTGGCCATTGCTACTGTTCAACCCCTTCTTCACTCCATCGCCTCCCACAAAGGATAAAATATCCTTTCTCCATGTGTGTATCGCATTAGGACAGGATACCGGGCACTGATATTTGTCATAAACTCATATTTGCTCCCAACCAGCCCCTACCAACCTTACCATGAAGAGTTTAACTCCAGGATGGTAGGTACAAGAGGGCAGCATTCAGCACAGGCAGGCAGAGAGGAACCAGACCCTACAGCCAGCAGCAGGGAAACAGCCGTAGTCACAGAGAAGGTGGGTAATCTGCCATCTAGGAAGAGCAAAAAAAAAGCACCAAATTCTCCTTTTGAAGAACATGCTCATGCAGGAGCATTTTGTGACTGCTGGAGATAACTAAACTTATGATTTCCACACATCTAAAGCCAGAGCAGAAGGTAACTGCAACTTTAGAAACCTAGTAACTTCATAGGGAGATGGTAAATCAGTTTTCAAATCAAAACCATTTCTGTGTTTACTGTAACAAACCACTTCTGCACCAAGCTGTAAAACCAGACACTATCCAGTTACATGGTCAGATTGATGAATTGCTGTCAAACACTATACAAACTTTTTTAATAAAAGAATTATACCTTACTAGTCTGTTTAGAAAATAAACAGCTTAGAGCAAGGAATCATTAAACAGATTTACATTATAATGACTGTTCCTAAAATTAGTCCTAAATATATAAATGCATTTTAATAAAACTGAAATATTGGGCTTTAGCTCACCACCACCGATTGTAAAATCATTCATTTGAATCCCCCCCACTAGGAAAGATTACAATTCACAGTGGACACAAAATATGAAGACTTAAACTTCACTGTGGTGATATCTCATTCAGTGCATCTATATTTAATTGGATCTAAAACTCTAATTGTTAGCAATTACAATAATTATTGTCCCATAATAACATTGTAATAGTACACTTATTCTTTTGTTTGGTCCCTAAAATTATAGCATTTACATATTCTAGTTCACAACAGGTATTTAACCCGAATTTCCCAGCTTTAAATATCAGGGAGATGATTGTCCTTTCTGTTATTAATTATTTCAAATTCTTCTACACAGGAGGAAAAACACTCCTTATGCAGCTATACATTCATTACAGACAGCAGCTTTTCTCGAGACAAATTATATTGCCACTATGTCTTGAACTCTATGACTTCATTGTGAATATCCTGTTTGAAGACTAAATTACCAGCACGTGCTATCTCCTACCTTACAAACAGTCCTGCTCCCAGCATGACACCACCTCAACGGCACTTTGGAAAAGACAATTTTATTTTCTGAGAGATTCAGTTTTATTTGTGTAACAGCTGCTCCTGTGGCCAATGGGAGTCTGCACGGTGTGGCAAGAAGGGGGGATTGGCAAAGTCTTCTGAAAGGAGCAAGGTGACATTGAAATCTGAGGAAATACAAAAGCTTTCCCCAGCCTGGGACATTGCTCTTCACTTGGGACTTTTTTGTCTCCTCCCCCAGCACCTGTTTTGGGGTCTTTAGGGACATTCTTCTTTCAACTCACATTATGTTTTGGTACCATTAGACTCAGCATGAGTTTGTCCATTTGCTTCAGCAGGGTCTGGGTTTCTCTCTCAGTATTTAGTGTGCAGTTTGGCACCACAATCCCTTCCTTTCAGTGGGAATTTAGATGAGGTAAAAGAGAAATTACATACATAGCTGTATGGCATCATGAGTACATGTGTACATGTGCCTGCATGGAAATGCACTGAAAGAGGAATTCAGCCACAAATCCAGGCTGTCCCAGGGAAATGAAGAGATGGAGCAAGGAAACACCTTCTTCCCCCTCTACCTCCAGCCCAGGGCAGGGTACCTGCAGGTGGTCATGCTGCATAATGGGTTGGCAGAATGAAACCCTACTGGGAAAAGGAACAAACCCATCCCAGGAGAGTTGGTACCATGTTCTTCTTACTGGAACCAATAACCCCTCTGAATTTCACAGGCTGATTGATTTTTCTCACTGTTTCCCAGCAATCACAGCACTCATTTCCTTCCCTGGTGACCTTAAAATGGGGCAGCAGTTATTCTTAGATTTTCCAACCTGGTTCAGAGTGCAGTACAAAATGCAGGAATGTGAGGCTGCCTTTCACTGCCTTGTCTTGGTGAAATATGAGCAAGGAAACAGTCTCATTCAATCAGTCTGAATTTACTACACACCAGTAGACTCAAAGTTCAGCTGCCAGACAAGAAAGGCTGCTTGTTTCAGACAGGCTGGAGAAAGCAATCAATTCTCCCTTAATGTAAGTTGAGAGAATTGTAATCCTCCATGATTTATTTGCAACCACCCTTTCCTGCACAATAGTCTACAGCTTCCAGCAATAAAAGGTTGATTAAGGAAAGTCTATTACTAAGCTTACCAGGTTAGATCGATTCACCAGCTTTTCAGGCTATTCCCAGAAATCAGTTAGGAGTTTTGCACCAAGATGCTCTAACCCTGTGTAGGACATGGGCTTGTCACAGATCCTGCAATGGCACCTGCACCAGCACTCACTGATGCTCATTCATACTGCTGAAAACAGAGCTGGATCCTGAATTCAAACAGTTCTTTTTGAAAAATTAATAACCCTTTTCAATACTGTAATTGGACTAAATGTTTTAAGCTGAAATTAAAAATACTTGTGACTTCAGCAGTTACATTTCTGACAAGATCATGGACACATATACTGAAGATAAAAGACAATCAAACCAATTATAAAAAATCCTTATTTTGCTCTTAACTCAAGACTTTTCATTAGCAACATTAGCTATTCAATGGGGGAAGATTAACTATTTTTAACCGAGATTACTGCATGTTACAGTGTTGCCTCCATACTCACCAAAGCTACTCTTTCCAAGACTTCAATTTAACATGTATTTGCTGCATACTAAAGCTAAAGCAAGAAATACAGCTTTAATCCTTGGTTAGTGTGTTTTCCTGAATAGCCTCAATAGTAGCAGTCTGGAATAGCATTATTAGATCATGTGACAACCGCAGTTTTTTTAATTATACAGTCCTTAGTGAATTATGGAAGCAGTTTGGAAATCTCATGGGTTGAGAGTGTAAATTAAGATTTAGCATTAGATTAATCACTCTGTTTATTCAGGGGATCTGGTTCTCTATTTTACTGGTTTACATCTTACATAAATTATGTGTGCGGGCTATTAAAATTCCCTCAAAATAAATTTCAAACACACTCCTAGCCTTGCATATTTGCAGGTATCTGTTTTTGATCGAGATTTGAGAAGTTAAGTTAAAAAAAAGTGCTGTATTCATGCTACTGATTTCTACTGGCACATCCACCAGCCATGGGTAGGAAGGGCTGTGATCTTTTCCTAACTGCTGGGTCACTAAGAGCTCCTCCCAGGGCTTGGCAAAAGCAAACATACGAATGCCAGTGCACCCTGTAGAAGCCTTAACCAGTATAAAGCAATTAATTCCCCAAGGAAGCAGCATTCTTGCAACCATTAATCCTTGCAACCCTAATGTCGACTTGCCATCTTTATCAGAGATGGGAAGGAAGGGAAGGACTTTACTACAGTCCCTTACCTCTCTGCAGTATGATGCTCCTCCTGGGACTCAAGGGGGTTCTGAACCTGGATGTTGTCCTTGCAGCATCCTCTCCCCTGCTGTCATTGTAAAACACAGAGGAACACAGCAAACTGCATAAATATATTTTGTATTAAATTAATGGGACATTTCTTCAATGAGATCCGCAAAAGAGATTTAAAAAGCACCTCCCAGACAGTTCCACTTCCATTTGTTTGCAAATAAAAATAGAAAATCTAGACCTGCAAATACAAGGTAGATTGATAAACCAAAAAAAAAAAAAGTCTGGTTTGAAAATGCAGTAATGGAGGAAACAGTGAAAACTGAAGCAGCATAGAAAATACAGCAGCTTTGTAATAATAGGTAATTTAAAATCTTAATGTTCAAGTATTAAGGAGACAAACTGGAAAAGAGGATACTCACATAGAATACAAATTGGATAAAAATCAAATTAGATTATATTTGAGCTAAGTAAAAAGTGCTAAAAGGAAATTAACATTTCTGTGTGAAAAAACAATTAACATTTCTCACAAGATTTCTCACAAGCCAGCAAGCCTCCTGGAAGATACCATTCTCTCCTGCACCCCAATAACTTTATTTTCTAAAACACTTAAATGTGTTCTGGTTTCCTTTATTCATTATTATTATTTCACAAGTTTGCCAATGACAGTAAGG